CAAACAGCTGGTAAAACATCAGTTCTGGGTGTGTTTGTGAGGGTGTTTCTGAAGAGAATGCATCTGAGTGAGTAGACCCAGTGGAGAAGATGGCCCTCACCAAGACAGGTGAGCATCATCCAATCCACCGAGGTTCTGAATTAAACAATAAGGCAGAAAAAGGACAAATTTGCTCTTTGATTGAACAGGGACATTTATCTTGCTCTGCCCTTGGACATTAGCCTTCCTGGTTCTCAGGCCTTTGGTTTAGCCTGAGACTTAACATTGTAAATTTTCTTGGTTTTCAGGCCATCAGACTTTTTCTTAATTATACCACAAGTTTTCTTGGTTCTCCAGTTTGCAGATGCCAAATCATGGGGCCTCTTGGCCCCTGTAATCAATCACATGAGCCAATTCCTATAATACATCTATTCTTATAATACGTCTTATATACAGATTTAGATATCCTGGTGGTTCTGTTTCTCTGGAAAATTCTAACTAATACACCCAGTATATTTTGCTTTTTTCCCATCAGCCAGGAACCTAAAGGCCAAAATCATTTTGTGTTAAAATCTACTCAGGTCCAGTGCCTGAAAGTATCTACTCCTTCTGTTTCTTTGAGATATATTCTTGTAATTGATCCTGAAAGATTATCACCTTTGCATAGCTTTTGCATCCTGCCCTTATCCAAAAGAACATGAAGTCCACTACTGATATTATATTCAGCAAATGAGATGATTTTCAAAACTTGTAATTTGCGCCCTGTCTGTTAACTATTAAAATGGCAACAGCTAAGATACTGGGTTGGGGTGGGGGAAGGTGGAGTCTGAGGCTACGGGGACCATCAAGCAATCTGCTCATTGCTGGCCAGTTGAGAAACACCACCACAGAAATTCTGTCCTTCCCCTACTTTATCTCAAGCTCAGCATTTTCCTCTTCCACATACTGTAGCTTCTGAAGTCCACATTCAAATGATGACTGTAAATGTCTTTAGGAATACAATTCTCTACTTACAGGAAACTACCTGGATTATAATTGTCTTTTTAAGCCTCACTTCAAGTGAGCTGAAATTGCCATAGAGATCTTCCTAAATCAATTTTCAAAGCACCATTTCGTATAGAGGGAGGATTGGTCTCTATTGCAAATAAGAGAATGTAGATACACAGAAGATAAGTGCATGGATCCCATGGGAAATCAGCTGTAATTCAGGGGACTTTGTGGTGGAAACTGCTGGATGTCTACCAAAATTTGTTCTCTC